ACACGATAGAACCTCAGTTCAATCCGTCATTTCTTCCCACATGCGCACTGTCCTCGATCCGTCATAGTCTTCGTGTGACCCCTCCGATCCTGATCCCACTCATCCCAGAGAACCAACCTTGCGCCCTGACGACTACGTACCATACATTGAGCCTACTAGCTCTGGCTGTACCCTCTAGTTGGACGGATCCTTACACAAAGGCAGTATGAGCCCTGCATTCCTGAGGTCTTGTTAGAGGATTTTGCAGTCTGCCTTCAGCCACTTGCAGCTAAGAAGGAGGTGTTCTGGTGTCTATTTGGTGCCACAGCTATAGAGAGGACTGTCTGCTTTGCCTATCCGGAAAAGGTATGCTTTGTTGTATCCATGGCCAATCTTTAGCTAGTAGAAGGCACTAGCAGTCTCCCTTCTAGTTCCCATAGTAACACTTAGCTTCTTGTAGATCTTCTACTTGTACTTGGCAGCATAGGTGTCAGGGTTCTTATAGATGGCTGATGGGGTATAGTTGCTAATACAAAGGAGCTTGTATTTAGTGTTTGCACACAGGCCACCAATGCCCCAACACATCACAGCTTTGCAGGCTGCCCACCTAAAATCAATGCGCAACAACACAACCACATGTACAATTAAGCACAAATTTACGAAGCTATTAGATTGTATACTGATTGCGCTATCTCCAACTTTTTGCGGTGTTGCAGCTATCTGTGGAAGTTGTTTTTCCCCCCAAAGCGTATGATATTGCGCACCACCTCAGGTATCCCATCCACCCACTTATTGATTACTTTAATGGGCAGAGCCTCCCAGGCCTTGCCCCATTGGTTGCGGCACTCCTTCTTGTTCTTGGAGGGAGTGAAATGGCGCGTCACATGCTTGCGCTGCCATGGCTAGGCATGTTCAGATGCGTTCACATCTAGAGAGTGGCCCGCCCAGCTCATTTCTTCTACCTTACTCACCTTCAAAAAGTTGTTTGCAATCCTTGATTTGTGAGCAGGTGCTCCATCCTCCAAGAAGATACACTCTACTCCTTGCTCTTGCAATTTGGTGATTCATGGCACAACTTTTGCAAGGGCTCCCTGCGGTGATGGTACCCATCTACCCCTCCCTTTGAGCGTATGCCGCGGTGATACTCATGCTTTTTGATGGACTTTTTTTTGCACGTTCTGGTGTTCATGAGGTTGTTTATCTCATGCTCATTGCGCTCAGTAAGGGCGCCTTGAGCAAGCTTTTGCATGTGATTGTAGCAATGCCGCATGTCTACATTTTTGGCCTGTAACTCCACCTCTGCAGCAGCTTTTTTGTCCTGAGTTTTGCAGGAATAGATCTGATAAGGTCCCTTGTGATTGTACCTGAAGACCCCGTAAAACATAAGGCAGCAGTCCTTGATTGTCTTTGTTTTTTTGATGTCTTCATCATAGATCTCATCATCCTTTGCCCAAGCTCTGAACATGCTGCGCTGCTCCCTAATTCAAGCAGGAGTTTTGTCGCTAAAGCACACAAGCCTCCAATTGAAGCCCTTGTTATCATACTCTGCATCTTTGTCTGGGTTGTACTTGAGCGCCCACGTGTAATGCTTGCGTTCTTGAGCGGGTGTAAGAGCAGGTTTTCATCCAGGTTGACGGCGTGCGTAACCAGCCTTGTACATGCCGTTTTCCATGGTAGAAATACTCATTTTTGGCAGCCCATCTACGTCAAAATTGCCGTCCTTGATTGCCTGCCAAGCCTCTTTCTCACGGGACTTGCGCAATATTGTTACAATCCGGATGACGTGTTCCTTCTGTTCCTTTGACAGAAGCTTTGGCCAACCACAACCATCAGTTTTTTCATAACAATCTTCATGCCAGATTAATACTCTAAGCTCTTCTGCACGTTCCCCTACTTTTTTGACCCAATTTGATATGGTGTTGTTACTGTGGCCCATAAGGCGCAAGATAGAGCGTGCACTTGCATTGCCGCCCAAGATTGCGCCTGCAGCAAACGCGTGTTCTACAAGTGTTAACTCGCGTTAGGTGGTTTTTGGCAGGTGAGACAATTGTTTCTCCTTGTATTTATACAGCTTTTGCCTACCAATTGTATTCATTTTTATCAAGTATTGGTAAAGTTATCAACTGCTGAAGTTGTTGTTGTGATGGAAAAACACGCTATTGGAAATGGTGTTGGTGGCCTGTGTGCAAACACTAAATACTGTTGAAGTATGAAAATTGATTCATTTTGTTGAGTGAGACTACAAACAGTATATATGGGTGAGTGACCGTAAACAGTGCTAGTCTCAAATAGGCATTGTCTCATTACCAGAGTGTGAGGGTCCGTCCAACTGGAGGGTACAACCAAAGCTGGAAGGCTAGATGTATGGTAC